GGAGGGGCCCATAAGGAGACTGAATAAGGAGGCAGCAATTCGGGGGTAGACCTTTAGAGCTGCATCTCGTGCTGCTGCTCCTGGGGGAGCATCTGCTGCTGCTGCTGCTGTTGCTGTTGCTGTTGCTGTTGATTCTGTTGCTGCAGCAGCAGCAGCATTTGCTGCTGCTGCTGCTGCTGCTGGAGAGGTATCTTCTGCCTTATAGTCGAAGCAACCAGCAACGAGGTACAGACACCGCAACGCCCAGAGCACAAGCTCCTTGAATATAATATAGCTGCTGCTGCTGCTGCTGCTGCTGCTGCTGCTGGCGTCTCCTGTGTAGACGCAGTGCAGCAGCAGCAGCAGCAGCTCGTGGAGCGCAATGCTGCATGCAGCCCCAGTAGGGAGGCCCCCAGCAGGGGGGATAGGGGCCAGGAAGGAGCAGCTGAAGCTGCTGTTTGAGTTAGCTGCAGCAGCAAGACGAGCAGCATGAGATGCCAGCTGCAGCGGCCATGCTGCAGCAGCAGCAGCAGCAAATAGCTGCAGCACAGACAACCCAAATCCCGTAAAAGAAGCAGCAGCAAACTGCTGCTGCTGCACCTTCAAGCAGCAATCCAAAGCCCTGCCGCATGCATGCATGCACTGGCCGAATATAGAAGCAAAAAACCAACCCCGAGATAACACTTGTTGCCGCCACTGCTGCTGCTGCTGCTGCTGCTTCTGCTGCTGCTGCTGCTGCTGCTGCTGCTGCTGCTGCTGCTTGGCGGGGGGGGAGAGGAGTTCATGTTTGAGGATGAAGAGAAGAGCAGCGAGGGAGTTAAAGAGATTTTCAATGAGTGGCAGCAAGTGCCCTGCAATACAAAAAGAGGATGAGGGTCTTTGCTTTTCTCTCTGTGCTGCTGCTGCTGCTGCTGCTGCTGCTGCTGCTGCTGATGCTGCTGCAGCATCGGATGTGCTGCAGCAAAACTTCTCCCATGCGTCTAGCTGCGCATGCAGACACTCCAGCAAAGGCTCCGTGAATCCAGACAAACTTGCAAACGATGCAGCAGCAAATACATGCGTCGCCGCCAGCTTCTGCTGCTGCTGCTGCTGCTGCTGCTGTTGCTGTTGCTGCTGCTTTTGCTGCAGTGGGCCCCCAGACGAGAGGCCTGTGAGGGCCCCCCGCCGCTGCTTCAGCTGCAGCTGGAGCAGCTCCTGCAGCTCTTTACGAAACTNAGGCCTGTGAGGGCCCCCCGCCGCTGCTTCAGCTGCAGCTGGAGCAGCTCCTGCAGCTCTTTACGAAACTGCTGCAGCTGCTGAGATGCATCAGAGACAAGAAGCAGAAACTCTTGAACTGCTGCTGAAGAAGAGAGGGGGGGGCCCCCAGGGGCCCCCGCATGGGAACCCTTAGAAGAAGGATCAGGGGGCCCCTGTCCTGCAAAGTTTAGCAGCTTATTGAGGGCCTCAACTGTTAGAAGCAAATGAAGATTTCTTCTTTCTTCAGCAGGCAAGTGCTCAGGAACACCATCGAGGGGCCCCATGGACGCTGCGGCGGAGGGGTGATGCGCCGCTGCAGTGTACAGACAGGCCGTCTATAAATTCATAAATTGCCAAAAGTAACAACTTATTTAATTCAAATGAATAAAAAAACAAAATATACTTGCAGAGAAGCGCACCGCAGGGTCCTTGGGGGGGCCCCCGAACACAGGTGGGTGGGCCCCGGGGGCCCCGCCGTAAAGCTAAGCTGTCGGTACACCCCAGCATCTTCTGCACACAATTCAAAAAAT